GACTTGCGCCCAAGACGCGCCATTATGAGAAACAGGGAGTCCAAGTGATACAGTGGAAGAACACACATTTTTACATCTATTTGAGTTTGCATTGCTCAGGGCCCTCTTGAGGCGCGAGTGGGACTTCACAATTATAAGCGACCTTTACAGACAATGCTCCTGCGTAATTGCATTCATTCATTTATCCATTGGCTATAAAACGTCTTTAAAAATGTTTAGTGAATAGGTATTGTGCGGTATCAGGACTGAGGTGTGGACTATGTCAAAATTAGGATTGAATTGGAAAGTAGAACCACTTGGATTTTCCAAATAGGTTTTGCTTTTACAAATATGTTTATGTGAGAGAGGAGTGAGATTAGCACTATCACCAATATTAAGGCACACATAAGTAGCCTTGGGTGGTTATTGAAGGTTTGACAATTTATTTGAAGAGTGCACCCTTGAAATCATTCTACATTTACATTTGAGTAATTTAGCAGACGCTCTTATCCAGAGCGACTTACAGTTAGTGAGTGCATACATTTTCAAATCCTTTGCATATTATATGCTATTTCATTGATTTGTTCAGGTAATTGCAATGAGGTAGAAAAAGACAGTATGCACACATGTATATGATCATTCATCTTGGGGTTTCCAGGCTTGTTACCTGTCTGTAAAGTGACCATACTCTGTGCAGAATAATTGGCCCATGCATTTCACCTTTTCTCAAGATAGGGGATTTAATCCAATTGCAAACAGCCTTATATGATCATCATGAATAAATGTTATACATTATAGCATGTGCTTGTAGGTCTATTTGCATTTTACATCATTAATGTTTAACTCCATTGGTTTTTATTTGCAATTTCATGTCACAATTGGTTAGGGCCGCACCCTTGATTTTCTACTACAGCGCTGGAAAAAAATTATCGAATCTCAATTGGTCTCTTCCTGTAGTCGTCATCTGCAATGATCCAACCTCCTTTCTGGTGTTTGGACAGCATATAAACGGACAGAATTTCATCTCTCTCTCTGAGCTACCTAGTAACATCATAATAACCAATACGTGGACCTCAAATGGGGAGGGTTTACAGCTGAGATTGACGTGTGTTTCAATGGCAGCCGGAGAGAGACATGGACAACAAGACGCGCGCACAGCCCAATAGAAACGGTAAGGAGACCCTGTTGATCTGTATAGGCTACGCTACATGATGGTAAGTCAGACTTTCTCTATTTCACATGTTAGGCAGATAAATATATTTTAAACGGGTTGTTAAGAACATTTCGTCGACGTGGTCATTGTAAAGATATATTTTGATGTTTACACAATTATGGTTGAACGAAACAGGACGTGTCCCAAAGAAGAAAACGGTCAGTGTGAGAATACAGTAAATTGTTTCCTGTCATTGACAAATTAAGAGTAGACTCCATCTTTACAGGAGCGATTCTGAAATGTAACGTAATTCTCTCGCCCGTCTGCCGCCATATAGCTCGACCCTCGAGAAAAATATTACCTCACCCGTTGCTGGTTTAAAAAAAAACAAGAACAAATCCTAAATGTTTTGTGCAACCGTTAACTTTCAGTGGCCTATTTACGTAGTTTATCTTCATTTACGTCGAATATCATAAAAAATCAAATCTGCTTTAGATGGGAAACTTTCGTGCAACAGGTGGCAGGTTTTTCCCGGGCCGGAGTAGGGAAAGGCGAGTCTGATGCTGAGGATGGGAGAGAGATGGAGTAGGGCGTAATTCAGCCCGAGACACCGGACAGCTCCTACGTCCACAATGTCTATTCACCTATTTATGTGGGTCAATCAATACAAAGGTTGTTTCTTTTAAATTCGTTACCAGATTTTCAATTTGTTTGTTGGTCCTGTTAGCAACTACATTACACCATGTAATTATATAATTAGTAAGCTCTTGTCTCAGAATTTCTACACAAGACCCTTAATTCATCTGAAAATTATTTCTTTATTGAAATCACCATTTACTTAAAAGTGTAAAGGTTCATGAAATTCATGTCAAAAAGAGCCATTGATATGTTTATGTATCATTTTACTTTTTAATGTAATTTTCACTCAAAAATGTTATTGCCAACAGAAAATCAAGGCAAGGCAGGTCTTGGCAAATAGAACTATGCAAAAGAGGAATTTACTTTTCCACACAAGATGACAAATCTCCTCTAGTCAATCTGTTCTCATAAGAGAGGGCTTTCTCTTCTTGTGATCAGCCAACCTCTCTACCAACCATGGTTGCCAACAACGACTGTCAAGGCCCCTTCCCCCCATCCTTCCCTTCTCTTCCCTTGCTAAACTGTCACCCCCACCCCATCCCCCTCTCCCAGTTGCTCCCAGTCCTGTTGCATAGCTACCAGCTCTGCTCATGAAACACACTGGAGATGGAAGACAATGATTATAGCTGTGTGTGTGCATGTGAGCGTGTGCCCATGTGAGAAAAATATAAGATGATGTAAAAGAAAATGCATACAAAAATCTGATTTACCTGCTGTGGAAGTGCAGTGAAGTTTGTTTTTTACTGTCATTAGTGGAGGTGACAGTAGTGTATAGATAATGTAACACAATATTTACATGATGAAAACATAGAACCATTTGAATAGATATCTATGTAGATCGGGCATACTAATTAAGGCCATCTCCATTTCTTTAATATTAGAATTTGACTAGAAAAGAAGGCCTCCATACAGTAGCAGTGCTTTAGCAAATAGGGTTTATTAGGAGTGCTATGTTCCCCTCCCCCTGTTCTCCTCCACCTCCCCTCATCCTGCACTCCTCCTTTCCTCTCCTCTGCCTCTTTGAGAAGAGCTGAAAGGTTGGCATTAGAACAACAAAGGCAGGACAGAATGTCAACAGGCTTCAGAGAGAAACAGGCAGAGAGAGACAGAGAGAGCAAGAGCGAGAGAGAGAGGAAACACAGGAATGAGAAAAGGACAGTGCGAAATCAACCTCTCGCCCCCTAGTCACTTTTTATATCTTCCACTAGAGTTCCACTACAGCTCCCAATGCAGTATGAGTATGTGTAGGAGAGTGTGGTATTTACATGTTGAGTGCATACGGTATAAATGTGGATGTGGGGTGCGGGAATACAAATGTTAGGTGGGTACATATGTGAAATGTCAAGTGGAATGTGAGTTTTTACCCTCGGAATCTGTGTCAAGGCTCTGTGCTATCACATTTGTATCATGATTCTCTTTCAGCTGAAGCAAGGGAGGAAAAAACACCAGACAGATGGGTGGATGGAGGAAGGAGATAGAGAACTGGTCCTAGTGCTGTGTGGAAGACTAGTGATTTTGTTGTGATGCTAAGCAATGAGAATAACAACAAGTCCCAGTCTGCCTCTCAACACAGGGCACTTCCCTACAGTCTGCTGCATACTACAGTGATGCTACCTGTGTGTGTGTGTGTGTGTGTGTGTGTGTGTGTTGTTTCGTAGCGTAATGGCAGTGTAAACATGCATGACTATAAATGCAAATAAAACCATCATGATGTGTAAACTGAAATAACATAGACATTTCATTCAACACTGGAACATTGATAAAATACAAAACATGTACAAATGGTCACATTCATACAATCAGAAAATACATTAGAAATGTGGAACTTCATCGCAAACATGCTTTGATCAGTTTCCCAGGTAAGATGTTAAAAGGGAGAAGCAGCTATTTTTCCTGGTAATCTCATGTGATTTGCATGTAAAACTGATACAGTTGAACTAGGTCAGAAGACCAACAGTATATGACTCTATGACTACACCTCGTAGATAAAAACACTTCTATAATTGCTTTATCTGACATCAACAGCCTTTATCAAAATTTGCAGAAAGCCTAGGCCAACCGACACATAACAGCTTTTAACCTACAGACAATGTACAGGCAGCATTTATATGACTATGGAGACAAAGGGCATTGGTAATGGATTTGTGTAAAAGAAGCCATTTTGAAAATGCTCCGTTGCCAAGCTGGAATACTTCAAATCAATTTAGCATTCCCTTTAGTGTTCCATTTGACCCAATGAGTCATGAGAATACATAGCCTACCCAGACTCGTGTCTGTTCTATTAATTCTATTTATATGACTGCACACACTCAGTGTTGCTGTCGAGCGTGTCATTACACATACACACATAACACTTAGGTCTTCACGTTACAACCCTACTTCAACCTTCCGCTTAGCAACATAGTACTGCTATTTATTGTGCACCTTATTCTCTAGACACAGAATATTGCATGTTAATTAAAGGACCGGGTTATAAGAACCGGTGGCTAGAACAGAAAGCCTTTGATGACCCCGCACATAGCACCTGGAGGGGGCTTAAGGAGGGCCTGTCTGAAATCAATGCACATAAAAAAATAAAAATAAAACATTGAAGCAGCCCTCAATTGCACACTAGTGACCACACATAATGAGATATAGCCAATATGGTCACTACACCCTAATATTTTAGCCCTGAGGACATATGCTTCCCATCTAACCACCCACCTCCTCCCTCCAGATAAGTCTGATTGGTCACAATGGATGCTGCACATTGGTAGTGGATAAGGAGCATTCACCACCCCCACCACCATTACAATGGAAAGGATTTTGAACACATGATAAAGCACCATATAGATACAACATCCAACCATAGGTGGAGTTGGGCTTCCTGTGGGCACAGTGGTAAGTGGTTCATTCCATAGAACTATGGGGATAACTTAAGTAGGTGAAGCACGTGACCTGGGAGTTCTAGCTGTCTAAAAGCCGCTGTCTCTGGATCATATGTACTGTGAACTTCTGCGAGCATGGGTTTGAATCTGACCCACTGCTCTAGCATCCTCTCTCCTCTCTATATTTCTATCCTAAAAAAGTGCCCCTTAACCCTTACCCTGCCCCACTGTGTAGTAGGGGCTTCCTTCGCTAGGGGTTTGTGGCTCCTTCAGTATGTGTAGGAGTTCGAGATGACAATGTCTCTGAAGAAGGGGAACCAGTCTCTGCACAGGCAGGTGAGGTAAATGTAGACAGGGTAGAATTACTTCTTCTGGTGGGTGATGAGGTGGAGGGCAGCATCGCTGGCTGGGTAGGCCGTCATATTGGTGTGGCCTCTGTAGGTGGTATAGTACATGGGAAATTAAAGATATGCTGCAGGGAAAGACATTAAAGGTACGGTAATACATGCTACATGCAGGATGTGTTCAAATGTTTTGATCAGGTTTAATCTCAATACAACTTCCTGGTTTAATAAAGGTTAAATAATAGAATAAGGACACCTTGATAAGACCTACATGATACCTACTGTAATGTTTCCTACTTCATTATACTTTATCTAAGGCCTACTATAAATGTAGCAGCTATTGTACCTTCATAAATATCCAACTACCATTACACAAGCAGTCAATACAACTCATTCATGTAAAGACATGGTGACGCTTGAAAATGTTTATTTTACATGGCCAGTCATTCAACATCACCAGCACAACCACGCACACTACCCAGTCATAATGCCATTTATTCGGTAGGAAAAGACAAAAGCTCTAGAACACATATTACAAATCTATTGTTGAAAAAAAGAACAGTAAATGGATTGTGTGACTGACCTGATTTTCTCCAAGGTGGTGATGGTCAGAGACACGTTGCTGCCCTGCATGGCTAGCTCATGCTGCATGGTGCCAAAGAAACGGTTCACTGCAAACTTGTTGGCCGCATAGGGCTCCATGGAGTAGTCATCTTACCTGTGGGGGAGAGAGGGAGAGACAGGGTGGAGAGACAGGGTGGAGAGACAGGGTGGAGAGACAGGGTGGAGAGACAGGGTGGAGAGACAGGGTGGAGAGACAGGGTGGAGAGAAAGGGTGGAGAGAAAGGGTGGAGAGACAGGGTGGAGAGAAAGGGTGGAGAGACAGGGTGGAGAGACAGGGTGGAGAGAAAGGGTGGAGAGACAGGGTGGAGAGACAGGGTGGAGAGAAAGGGTGGAGAGACAGGGTGGAGAGACAGGTGGTGAGTTCACACAGTATCAACAGTGCTTGTCTGAGGACTTCAGACAGAAGGACAGATCTTGGTTTTATTCCCCTCTAAAAATACAGTAGAAGGAGTACTAGTGAAGTTTGCATCAGTATAAAACTGCATCTGTATAAGACTGTATTTGTATAAGACTGTGTGTTGTGTACTCACCCAACAGAGAGGCTACTACGATCATAGACCCTGCACTCTGCTCCAGCATTGGCAAAGCTGCAGAAGCCATGTTCACGAAGCTGAGGAAATTCACCTTTGGAAAACAACAACACATTAAAAACTACTATAGCATAGCCTTGTCTCACTTGGCTAGATGCAAGGCTAAGTATAGCCTAATATGAAGGAGAAAAAAAACAAAGTGTACCTGCATCAGTTCCCTGACGTGCTCAACGTCTCCATTCCAAATGGCGAATGGGGTGGGTCCAATGTGATTCAAAACCAGGATGTCAAGACATCCTGCAGAACAAAAAGACAGTCGGAAAATGTCAACTAATGTGCCTTATTAATACAGACAATGACTTAAGTTAATCTAAGTGATGAGTCCTTACCCAGCCATCCTCACCACTCTCTCTGGGTCTGAGGCCTGGCACGTCTCCTGTCACACACAGAGCCTTCTTGGAACCCAGGCTTGTGCAGTTCTCTGCCACCTACAGGACAGAGGGAGCAATGACACACTGGTAAAGAGGCTGTCACCATCTGGTCATAATAGAAAGGACATATGTACATAGTCGATTGAGCCGACACACTGAGTGTATAAACATTAGGAACACCTTCCTAATATTGAGTTGCACACCCTTATGCCTTCAGAACAGCCTCAATTTGTTGGGTCATGGACTCTGTAAGGTGTTAAGTGTGTCCACAGGGATGCTGGACCATGTTGACTCCAATGCTTCCCACAGTTGTGTCAAGTTGGCTGAATGTCCGTTGGGTGGTGGACCATTCTTGATACACACTGTTGAGCGTGAAAAACCCAGCAGCGTTGCAGTTCTTGATACACTCAAACCGGTGCGCCTGGCAACTACAACATACCCTGTTCAAAGGCACTTAAATATTTTGTCTTGCCCATTCACTCTCTGAATGGCACACATACACAATCCATGTCTCAATTGTCTCAAGGCTTAAAAATCCTTATTTTACCTGTCTCCTCCCCTTCATCTACACTGATTGAAGTGGATTTAACAAGTGGCATCAATAAGGGATCATAGCTTTCACCTGGATTCACCTGCTCAGTCTGTCATAGAAAGAGCAGGTATTCTTAATGTTTTGTACACTCAGTGTATGCAGCTTTACCGTGAATGCAGTCTCCGTTAACGCGGGAATATTGCCTTTAAATTTACAGTGAGGGAAAAAAGTATTTGATCCCCTGCTGATTTTGTACGTTTGCCCACTGACAAAGAAATGATCAGTCTATAATTTTAATGGTAGGTATATTTGAACAGTGAGAGACAGAATAACAACAAAAAAATCCAGAAAAACGCATGTCAAAAATATTATCAATTGATTTGCATTTTAATGAGGGAAGTAAGTATAAGACCCCCTCTCAATCAGAAAGATTTCTGGCTCCCAGGTGTCTTTTATACAGGTAACCAGTTGAGATTAGTGGTGGCCAACTACAAGAAACGTCTGACCTCTGTGATTGCCAACAAGCGTTTTGCCACCAAGTACTAAGTCATGTTTTGCAGAGGGGTCAAATACTTATTTCCCTCATTAAAATGCTAATCAATTTATAACATTTTTGACATGCATTTTTCTGGATTTTTTTGTTGTTATTCTGTCTCTCACTGTTCAAATAAACCTACCATTAAAATTATAGACTGATCATGTCTTTGTCAGTGGGCAAACGTACAAAATCAGCAGGGGATCAAATACTTTTTTCCCTCACTGTATACTGTTGAAAATAACTAAAATAGCAACCTGGTCAAGCAGACTGAACGCTGTGCTCACTTTTGGTTTCAAATGAAACAGAATGTGAGCTATCGCGAGACCAGGCTGGTTCTTTTCTAAACAATTATGCTAATCATTAAGCCATTGATAAGATTAATCTGTTGTGTGCATGCTGGCCTGGAGCAAAGGCCTGCACACACAGTAGCTCTTGTGTATTTTGTAGATAGACTGGCTGGACTTGCGATTGGTGAACAGCGTGGAGCAAACTGAGACATAACTTTGAAAACAACATGTAAATATGTTGTTTTAAACTTACTAAAGTTACTTTCATTACTCTAAAATCAGTAGGCTATCTTAACCATATGCGAGAAGTCTGCTGCGCTACGGGTATGGCGGAAAATAACCTGGATGGAGACTCGCTTCCACAAAAACGACACTGACGGTATAATGAAAGAATTGAAGTTGCTCAATGCGAAAATGGACACAATGCAAATGACTCTTGAAAAGCAAATAAACAGCAAGGTCGACAGCGTTCGTGACAACATGGAGAAGCTGGTCATAGAAAATCAAAATCTCATGAAAACCGATTTGGAGCAGAAAGCCAAATAAATCCATGAAGATATTGACCTGGATATGGTGCTCCTGTGTTCAAGAATGGACAGTATAGAGGACAAAAAATGTAACAACCCAAAAATAACCCAACTAAACAGTTTGACCCATACGTATCTACAATAGTAACAGGCCTACCTTATGAGGACAATGAAGATACGGCAGAAAAGGTTAGGGAGCTGCTCACCGAGGGTCTGCGGTGCAAGCAGGTGCCAGAGCTGGTGGCCACCAGAAGGATGAGAGCAAGAGGCTGGGGACCAGGAGTCGTGAAGGTTGCATTCTGAACCTCTCGGGGGGGGGGGGGGGGGGGGTAAAAGATAAAGTGGATGTCCTCCGGCTAAAGCATCATCGGCCCACAAAGATCGAACCATCGAACTCAACTTCAAAACAGATATTTCTACATTTCGGGGAATGGGAGGACGATGAAGCGTCTCCTGATCCCGAGGGCGACCACAAAGGCCGGGGAGCGGGACTCGCAGATCATGTCCAGGAAGGCTGAGAACCATCTGCCCAGTCCGTAAATGCTTAACAATTGTATTTAATTCACTGGAACGTTAATGGATGGACGACCTCAAACGGTACACTTAGAACATTACTACTACAGGCCCTAAACCCTGACTATTTATCTGAATGAAAATCATTTGTCTGGCGACTCCACTATTGACTTGGATGGTTATTCTTGGTTTGGACACAACCGAAACGTTCATATAAGAGCAAGAACATTGTGAACATTGTGGACAAGTCAATAGATGGAATAATTGGTGTAAGATTTGAACACTGTGTGTCCCAATATTATTTTGTCTTGTTATTTACCACCGGAGGGTTCTACAAGGGGAACCCTCCACTTGTTGGCGCAGGTGTATTCTCTGGACACTGAAAGTATTCACACCCCTTTATTTTTCCATATTTTCTTGTGTACCAGCCTGCACTTAAAATGGATTAAATTGGGATTTTGTGTCACGGGCCTACACACAATCCCCTCTTCATATTTTCAAGCATGGTGGTGGCTGCACCATGTTATGGGTATGCTTGTCATCGGCAAGGACGACAGAGTTTTTTAGGATAAAAAGAAACAGAATAGAGCTAAGCACAGGCAAAATCTTAGAGGAAAACCTGGTTCAGTCTGCTTTCCAACAGACACTGGGAGACAAATTCACCTTTCAGCAGGACAATAACCTAAAACAAGGCCAAATATACACTGGAGTTGCTTACCAAGATGACATTGAATGTTCATGGGTGGCTGAGTTACAGTTTTGACTTAAACCGGCATGGAAATCTATGGCAAGACTTGAAAATGGCTGTCTAGCAATGACCAACAACCAACTTGACTGATCTTGAATAATTTTTTAAAGAATAATGGGCAAATATTGTACAATCCAGGTGTGCGAAGCTCTTAGAGACTTACCCAGAATGACTCAACTGTAATCGCTCCCAAAGGTGATTCTAACATGTATTGACTCAGGGGTGTGAATACCTATGTAAATTAGATATTTTGAATTTTATTTTCAATACATTTGCTAAAAAAAATTAAACATGTTTTCACTTTGTCATTATGGGGTAGATGGGTGATATTTTTATTTTTATTTAATCAATTTTGAATTCAGGCTGTACCACAATAAAATGTGGAATGAATACTTTCTGAAGGCCAACAACCAACTTGAATGTATATATTCGGTGACCTGAAGAGTTGTTTCTCTGATCTGAAAGATTGTATAATTGACATTGATGGTATTGCACCTAAAGTTGCTTTAGACACAGGTTTAAATAGGCATGGGTTCTTAAAAGGATTTCAAGTGCTGCATTCTGAATGGTAGATTATCACTACAAAATGATAATTTCACATCAATGTCAACAAAGGGAAAAGCAGTCGTCGACTATATTGTAACACCCCATGACTATCTGAATACGTGTGGAGTTGAATGTGATTACCTCAACCGAGCTTGAGGAAAGTAAAGGTCCTGAGTGTATTGTCCTGATTGGAGACCGTAGTAGACTGTCTGATCATTCATTGTTGTTTCTGAAATTCATGGTGTACTATACTGGGGAGGAAGGTGATGTGGGCTTATCTAAGTCAAGTGCAAATCAGACCAAAAGAAGGCCTAGAAACCTACCTGACCATTTTCTTTCATCTGGGGGGGGGGGATTATTTGTGTATTAGTATTGTGCTGTTAGACATTTACTGCACTGCTGGAGATAGAAACAAGCATTTAGCGGCACCTACTTTAACAAATGCTAATCTGTGTATGTAACAAATAAACTTTGATTTTATTTTAAATGTTTATTTAAAATGTTGGAGGGGGGAGGATTAAATGATGGAGAAACCATTTGTCCTTCTGTCTTTTTGTATACATTGTGCTGCTTTACCAACTAGGGGGGGGGGGGGTACCCACCATACTGAAACAAACAACACTGAACCAACAATTGCTGCAATCTCTAAATCATGCAACAAATAGGAACAGCAAATCATATCAAAGAATTTCAAGAATGCCTCACAATACAGGTATTTACAAAAGTAAGTACAGTTACGGTCACGGCGGTCTAACAACGTGACAGAAATATTCGATTATTCATGACTAAGGGTAGATTGTAATCCAAAATGTATTAAAAATTACAGCCAATAATATTTAAATGTCTGGCTCAAATAAACATGACTTCTCTGTACTCATGAAACTAGTAGGTCAAATAATTCCTCTCAAATAAACATTTGACCTCAGCTGGTGTGGGCGATTCTGAGACATGTGCAGTCAAATCTTGGCAATTGTTTATAATTTCTATTAAATCGTTTTTTTATTGCACTTATTCTAGCAACACATTTGTACATCAACATAGATCATTTTCATTGATAATATCTACTTCCTTACATTTATATTTTAGTCATTTAGCAGACGCTCTTATCCAGAGCAATTTACAATTACTACTCATTAGCCAAACAAAATAAAACATAGCTGCTTAATCGCTTGTTTCTTAAAAGAAAAGGAAATACACATGCAAGCTTTGCACTGTTTACAAAAGACTAGTCAATATGAGTCACAGAGTTCACACTTTTAGCAAACGTCTGACCTTGTACGAGACACAGGTCAGGGAACATGTCCACAATAATGACAGGGAAGTGTCATGGTTGCAGAGAGTTCCATTTCAATCCAGTCAATTCAGGAAATGGATTGACATTCAATTCATGAATTAAAAGTTTCCCAATATTTCGACTTTGGTGAATACTGAATTTCAACTCACTTCCTGAATTGACTGAGTTGAAATAAGACTCGACCTAAGGTGAGTGTACAAGTGTGAGGGTCGGAGGCAGGGGGGACTAGTCCTTTCTAGGTGGTTTTGACCGGGTAGAGTTGTATTCTAGGTGGTTTTGACCAGATCGTAGACATGAATGTGGAAGTCGTCGTCGTATTTGATGTAGTAGACAGAGGGTTTGGCTGGAACCTGGTAGATAACCAGCCCCGTCCTTTTCACGCCCTTATCCGTGACGTACTCCACCTGCTTACCCACAAGGCTCTCTGTCTCCTCGCCTGGCTTCCTGTCTGCAGGCAGTAGGTGTTTGTTCTCTGGGAAACGAGAAAATAATAAGATGAGGAAGAAAGAACAGGGAGAATGAAAAAAGAGAATTTGCATATGATGTTGTCTGCCCTTTTACTTCACATACCAAAACAAATACTTCATCCTTCATCTTCATCCTATTTATTTGCCTTTATTTAACCAGGTAAGTCATTGAGAACACATTTTCTTTTACAACAACGACCTGAACAGGGAATGAGCGTAGGACATGTACAGTACCAGTCAAAAGTTTGGACACACCTACTCATTCACGTGTTTTTCTTTATTTGTACTATTTTCTACATTGTAGAATAATAGTTAAGACATCAAAACTATGAAATAACACATATGGAATCATGTAGTAACCAAAAAAGTGTTAAAGAAATCCAAATATATTTTATATTTGAGATTCTTCAAAGTAGCCACCCTTTGCCTTGATGACAGCTTTGCACATTCTTGGCATTCTCTCAACCAGCTTCATGAGGAATGCTTTTCCAAGTCTTGAAGGAGTTCCCACATATGCTGAGCACTTGTTGGCTGCTTTTCCTTCACTCTGCGGTCCAACTCATCCCAAACCATCTCAATTGGGTTGAGGTTGGGTGATTGTGGAGGCCAGGTCATCTGATGCAGCACTCAATCACTCTCCTTCTTGGTCAAATAGCCCTTACACAGCCTGGAGGTGTGTTTTGGGTCATTGTCCTGTTGAAAAACAAATGATAGTCCCACTAAGTGGAAACCAGATGGGATGGCGTATCGCTGCAGAATGCTGTGGTAGCCAAGCTGGTTAAGTGTGCCTTGAATTCTAAATAAATCACAGACAGTGTCACCAGCAAAGCACCCCCACACCATCACACATGCAGAGATCATCCGTTCACCTACTCTGCGTCTCACAACGACACGGCGGTTGGAACCAAAAATCTCAAATTTCAGACCAAAGGATAGATTTCCACCGGTCTAATGTCCATTGCTCATGTTTCTTGGCCCAAGCAAGTCTCTTCTTCTTATTGGTGACCTTTAGTAGTGGTTTCTTTGCAGCAATTCGACCATGAAGGCCTGATTCACGCAGTCTCTGAACAGTTGATGTTGAGATGTGTCTGTGACTTGAACTCTGTGAAGCATTTATTTGGGTTGCAATCTGAGGTGCAGTTAACTCTAATTAACTTATCCTCTGCAGCAGAGGTAACTCTGGGTCTTCCTTTTCTGTGGCGGTCCTCATGAGAGCCAGTTTCATTATAGCGCTTGATGGTTTTTGCGACTGCACTTGAAGAAACTTTCTAAGTTCTTGACATTTTCCAGATTGACTGACCTTCATGTCTTAAAGTAATGATGGGCTGTCGTTTCTCTTTGCTTATTTGAGCTGTTCTTGCCATAATATGGACTTGGTCTTTTACCAAATAGGGCTATCTTCTGTATACTAACCCCTTGTCACAACACAACTGATTGGCTCAAACGCATTAAGGAGGAAAGAAATTCCACAAATTAACTTTTAACAAGGCACACCTGTTAATTGAAATTCATTCCAGGTGACTACCTCATGAAGCTGGTTGAGAGAATGTCAAGAGTGTGCAAAGCTGTCATCAAGGCAAAGGGTGGCTACTTTGAAGAATCTCAAATATAAAATATATTTTGATTTGTTTAACACTTTTTTGGTTAACGGTAGCTAACTCAGTTCCGTACATATGTGGGCAACCACGGCATTCAAATGAGGCTGCAATGAAAACGAATGGGACTGTAGCGACTGTGTTGGCATCAAAATCCGGGGTGTGAACTAAGTTTCGATTCAGCGTTGATTGACATGGTAATAGACCAATAGTATCGGAGAAAAGTTGAAAAAACTGACCCCGCTGACGCTGTACGTTAAAGTGTGACATGTCACGACGTAACGTATGGCACGCATTATTCAGTCATTCTGTGCCTTACAGCCTCTTTCCACCAGGTGTAGTGCTTCTCTCGCAGATTAAAAACAAGAAATGATCAATGGTGAGTGTAATGGTGAGTGTAAAGTTAATTACTCGTGAGTTCATCAATAGTTCCTTCAATCAATTGTTAATTTTTCGCGTAATCACTGTGAGCCATCATGACTCTCAAAAACCGTGACACCCACAGTTTAATTGTGAAAATAAATGTAGCGCCTCCCTAAAAACCCTGTTCAAATTCAACGCAAACCTTAAAATAGGTATGTAATGAGACATTACATAAACTCTTTATCGTGTTTTATTTACATTTTACAGGTAATAAGTTGGACAAATCAGGTGAAAAAAGCCGGTTCCCCACACGACATATCTCCCCTTTCACTATGACGCCGTAGCTTTCGCTTCCCCACCCGCCATTTTTAAAAAGACCCGGAGGAGCTCCATTGCTTTCTTCGATCATGCAAAGACGGACAGCATGAAGGTTTAGTCATTGACTTTGCTGGAAAGGGGAGAAATTCTGCTTTACAATGGTATTCATATTACAGTTGACCTGGAAGTATTACGTTTTTGGGGCGCTAAAATAAGGTCAAATGTACGGAACAGCGCGATGTACAAAAGTACGTTAGCTACCGTTACTACATGATTCCATATGTGTTATTTCATAGTTTTGATGTCTTCACTATTATTCTACAATGTAGAAAATTGTAAAAAATCATGAAAAACCCTGGAATGAGTAGGTGTGTCCAAACTTTTGACTGGTACTGTATGTGCGTTCCAGTTCTCATGCTCAATAGACTGCAGCCTATTAAACTCTAGTCTATTTCACCCAGTAGCCTCACAAGATTTACAAGACCTTATTCTGAGTCTTTTTACTGAACAATCAGATCTGAATAGGTCTCTATTTTTTCATATGCTTTCAGTCACCTGCCTTCCATTTAGCTTTACAACAATTACTTCATCCACAGGTGGTCATAGTACTCTTGACGTCACTCCCTTCCTATGTCCCTATTCCAACTTCAGTGCTGTACGCAGTAAACACCCGTTCTATCCGTTCTTAAGAAGATATGATACTGTAGAGCTATACCAATATGAGTGTACCCTTGACGATCAAAAGGACCACCACCCCCTTTACTATGTTACATGAGGTTTCCCTTTGGTCAGCACTAACATTGCATAATTCCTGTGATTATCATAATAGGCAATTTGAGAGGGAATGTTTTATTATCTCTGGGAGTGTCTGAGAATATTTAATCTTTCATTTGTATTGTACAGATTTATCAGTGGACCGGTTATCTCTCTCCATTTCTGTCTCTATGTATTGCCCTTCCCTCTTTTTACAGGATTAGGAAATTAGCTGATTCCAACCAAACCAACCAAAACAAACACCCAAAAGCAAATCAAATATCTTACCTGCTTCAGGTAGGATGCGGAGGTCTCCGTCCTTATAGTCGTCCCAGAGCTGGTACATGTAGAGCACAGGGTCCTTCTCATAGGTGATGTAGTACCAGTTGGTCATGATGGGGGCGCGAGACAGCACCATGCCCCTCCACTCGTTCTTCTCGCCGTCCTCCTTCTCAAACAGGTGCTCCACAGCCTTCCCCACCAGCTCTGGCGCATCATGGGGCACCTTGATCTTGTTGTTTACTATGGGGGTAAACCACAGGTTATATACTGTTGAAAATAACTAAAATAGCAACCTGGTCAAGCAGACTGAAGCTCACTTTTGGTTTCAAATTAAACAGAATGTGAGCTATCGCGAGACCAGGCTGGTTCCACCAGGCAACTAAAATAGTTCCCCAAGTTGGGAAAGGTAGAGGAAATAGCATTGCTTTCATTGTGTACTTTGGGGGTGAGAGGTTACATTAAGACAAGAGGGGGAAACTTGTGTACATCTGAATGGCATGGATAGGTGTATAGGTCCAATCCTATACAATCCTTCCACATTGACATATACAGTAGAAGCTAGGTGCTAGGGATCATGATGGGATTGAGTACAATTATATTGCACCGAGTTGTGGTTTGCTGTACAGAAGAAGAATACAATTATCAATGAGGGGAAAATATACATGATAAGGCACTGGTAGGTCATTAACCTGGGGATAAGGAGAGTAAAGGGAGATAAGGGTATACAGGCTTTTCTAAACCATTATGCTAATCATTAAGGCCTTGATAAGATTAATCTGTTGTGTTCAGTGGCTTGCGAAAGTATTCACCCCCCTTGTCATTTTTCCTATTTTGTTGCCTTACAACCTGGAATTAAAATAGATTTTTGGGGGGTTTGTATCATTTCATTTACACAACATGCCTACCGTATTGAAGATGCACATTTTTATTGTGAAAAAACAAGAATTAAAACAAAGAAAAACCGAAAACTTGAGCGTGCATAACTATTCACCCCCCTCCAAAGTCTATACTTTGTAGAGCCACCTTTTGCAGCAATTACAGCTGCACGTCTACCCACTGCAAATTTTGCCCATTCTTCAAGGCAAAACTGCTCCAGCTCCTTGAAGTTGGATGGGTTCCGCTGGTGTACAGCAATCTTTAAGTCATACCACAGATTCTCAATTGGATTGAGGTCTGGGCTTTGACTAGGCCATTCCAAGACATTTAAATGTTTCGCCTTAAACCACTCATGTGTTGCTTTAGCAGTATGCTTAGGGTCATTGTCCTGCTGGAAGGTGAACAACGTCCCAGTCTCAAATCTCTGGAAGACTGAAACAGGTTTCCCTCAAGAATTTTCCTGTATTTAGCGCCATCCATCATTCCTTCAATTCTGACCAGTTTCCCAGTCCCTGCCGATGAAAAACTTCCCCACAGCATAATGCTGCCACCACCATTCTTCACTGTGGGGATGGTGTTCTCAGGGTGATGAGCGGTGTTGGATTTGCGGCAGACATAGCGTTTTCCTTGATCACCAAAAAGCTCAATTTTAGTCTCATCTGACCAGAGTACCTTCTTCCATATGTTCGGGGAGTCTCCCACATGCCTTTTGGCGAACACCAAACGTGTTTGCTTATTTTTTTCTTTAAGCAATGGCTTTTTTCTGGCCACTCTTCCGTAAAGCCCAGCTCTGTGGAGTGTACGGCTTAAAGTGGTCTTCTGGACTGATACTCCAATCTCCGCTGTGGAGCTTTGCAGCTCCTTCAGGGTTATCTTTCATTTCTTCAAAATCTTTCATCTCTTTGTTGCCTCTGATTAATGCCCTCCTTGCCTGGTCCATGAGTTTTTGTGGGCGGCCCTCTCTTGGCAGGTTTGTTGTGTTGCCATATTCTTTCTATTTTTTAATAATGGATTTAATGGTGCTCCGTGGGATGTTAAAAGTTTCGGATATTTTTTTATAACCCAACCCTGATCTGTACTTCTCCACAACTTTGTCCCTAACCTGTTTGGAGAGCTCCTTGGTCTTCATGGTGCCGCTTGCTTGGTGGTGCCCCTTGCTTAGTGGTGTTGCAGACTCTGGGGCCTTTCAGAACAGGTGTATATATATACTGAGATCATGTGACAGATCATGTGACACTTAGAGTGCACACAGGTGGACTTTATTTAACTAATTATGTGACTGAAGGTAAATGGTTGCACCAGATCTTATTTAGGGGCTTCATAGCAAAGGGGGTGAATACAGTGGGGGGAAAAAGTATTTAGTCAGCCACCAATTGTGCAAGTTCTCCCACTTAAAAAAATGAGAGAGGCCTGTAATTTTCATCATAGGTACACGTCAACTATGACAGACAAATTGAGATTTTTTTCTCTCCAGAAAATCACATTGTAGGATTTTTAATGAATTTATTTGCAAATTATGGTGGAAAATAAGTATTTGGTCACCTACAAACAAGCAAGATTTCTGGCTCTCACAGACCTGTAACTTCTTCTTTAAGAGGCTCCTCTGTCCTCCACTCGTTACCTGTATTAATGGCACCTGTTTGAACTTGTTATCAGTATAAAAGACACCTGTCCACAACCTCAAACAGTCACACTCCAAAACTCCACTATGGCCAAGACCAAAGAGCTGTCAAAGGACACCAGAAACAAAATTGTAGACCTGCACCAGGCTGGGAAGACTGAATCTGCAATAGGTAAGCAGCTTGGTTTGAAGAAATCAACTGTGGGAGCAATTATTAGGAAATGGAAGACGTACAAGACCACTGATAATCTCCCTCGATCTGGGGCTCCACGCAAGATCTCACCCCGTGGGGTCAAAATGATCACAAGAACGGTGAGCAAAAATCCCAGAACCACACGGGGGGACCTAGTGAATGACCTGCAGAGAGCTGGGACCAAAGTAACAAAGCCTACCATCAGTAACACACTACGCCGCCAGGGACTCAAATCCTGCAGTGCCAGACGTGTCCCCCTGCTTAAGCCAGTACATGTCCAGGCCCGTCTGAAGTTTGCTAGAGTGCATTTGGATGATCCAGAAGAGGATTGGGAGAATGTCATATGGTCAGATGAAACCAAAATAGAACTTTTTGGTAAAAACTCAACTCGTCGTGTTTGGAGGAAAAAGAATGCTGAGTTGCATCCAAAGAACACCATACCTACTGTGAAGCATGGGGGTGGAAACATCATGCTTTTGGGCTGTTTTTCTGCAAAGGGACCAGGACGACTGATCCGTGTAAAGGAAAGAATGAATGGGGCCATGTATCGTGAGATTTTGAGTGAAAACCTCCTTCCATCAGCAAGGGCATTGAAGATGAAACGTGGCTGGGTCTTTCAGCATGACAATGATCCCAAACACACCGCCCGGGCAATGAAGGAGTGGCTTCGTAAGAAGCATTTCAAGGTCCTGGAGTGGCCTAGCCAGTCTCCAGATCTCAACCCCATAGAACATCTTTGGAGGGAGTTGAAAGTCCGTGTTGCCCAGCGACAGCCCCAAAACATCACTGCTCTAGAGGAGATCTGCATGGAGGAATGGGCCAAAATACCAGCAACAGTGTGTGAAAACCTTGTGAAGACTTACAGAAAACGTTTGACCTGTGTCATTGCCAACAAAGGGTATATAACAAAGTATTAAGAAACTTTTGTTATTGACCAAATACTTATTTTCCACCATAATTTGCAAATAATTTCAATTTGGACTATTTTGTGTATGTCCATTACATGAAATCCAAATAAAAATCAATTTAAATTACAGGTTGTAATGCAACAAAATAGGAAAAACGCCAAGCGGGATGAATACTTTTGCCAGGCACTGTACATGCTGGCCTGGAGCAAAGACCTGCAAACACAGTAGTTCTTCTGTACTTTGGAAAAAAACGACACTGATGGTATAATGAAAGAATTGAAGTTGCTCAATGCAAAATGGACACAATGCAAACGACTCTTGAAAAGCAAATAAACAGCAAGGTCGACAGCCTTTGTGACAACATGGAGAAGCTGGTCAAAGAAAATCAAATCCATGAAGATATTGACCTGGATATAGCGATCCTGAGTTCAATAATGGACAGTATCGAGGACAAATATTTAACAACCCAAAAAGAACCCAACTAAACAGTTCGACCCAGACGTATCTCCATTAGTAACAATCCTACCTTACGAGGACAATGAAGATACGGCAGAAAAGGTTAGGCAGCTGCTCACCGAGGGTCTGCGGTGCAAGCAGGTGCCAGAGCTGGTGGCCACCAGAAGGATGAGAGCAAGAGGCTGGGACCAGGAGTCGTGAAGGTTGCATTCCGGGGGGGGGGGGGGGGGAACTATCTGCCCAGTCCGTAAATGCTTAACAATTTTATTTAATTCACTGGAACGTTAATGGATGGACGACCTCAAACGGTACACTTAGAACATTACTACTACAGGCCCTAAACCCTGACTATTTATCTGAATGAAAATCATTTGTCTGGCGACTCCACTATTGACTTGGATGGTTATTCTTGGTTTGGACACAACCGAAACGTTCATATAAGAGCAAGAACATTGTGAACATTGTGGACAAGTCAATAGATGGAATAATTGGTGTAAGATTTGAACACTGTGTGTCCCAATATTATTTTGTTATTTTGTCTTGTTATTTACCACCGGAGGGTTCTACAAGGGGAACCCTCCACTTGTTGGCGCAGGTGTATTCTCTGGACACTGAAAGTATTCACACCCCTTGACTTTTCCCACATTTTCTTGTGTACCAGCCTGCATTTAAAATGGATTAAATTGGGATTTTGTGTCACGGGCCTACACACAATACCTCTTCATATTTTCAAGCATGGTGGTGGCTGCATCATGTTATGGGTATGCTTGTCATCGGCAAGGGAGTTTTTTAGGATAAAGCACAGGCAAAATCTTAGAGGAAAACCTGGATCAGTCGGCTTTCCAACAGACACTGGGATACAAATTCACCTTTCAGCCGGACAATAACCTAAAACACAAGGCCAAATATACACTGGAGTTGCTTACCAAGACAACATTGAATGTTCATGAGTGGCCGAGTTACAGTTTTGACTTAAACAGCTTGAAAATATATGGCAAGACATGAAAACGGCTGTCTAGCAATGACCAACAACCAACTTGACTGTATATATTCGGTGACCTGAAGAGTCGTATCTCTGATCTGAAAGATTGTATAACTGACATGGATGGTACTGCACCTAAAGTTGCTTTAGACACAGGTTTAAATAGGGATGGGTTCTTAAAAGGATTCCAAGTGCTGCATTCTGAATTGTAGATTATCAGCACAAAATGATCATTTCACATCAATGTCAACAAAGGGAAAAGCAGTTGTCGACTATATTGCAACAATCCATGACTGTCTGAATACATGTGTGGAGTTGAATGTGATTACCTCAACCGAGCTTGTGGAAAGTAAAGGTCCTGAGTGTATTGGCCTGATTGGAGACCATAGTAGACTGTCTGATCATTCATTGTTGTTTCTGAAATTCATGGTGTACTATACTGGGGAGGAAGGTGATGTGGGCTTATCTAAGTCAAGTGCAAATCAGACCAAAAGAAGGCCTAGAAACCTAACTGACCATTTTCTTTCATCTGACATGTGCTGTACTGTTCTTATGGACCTTATTGATAACCTGGAAGCTTGCCAGAAAACACAATATAATATTGATCAGTGGTATGGCCGGTTCTGTGATGTACTACATGAGGCAATTGAAAAGTGTTTACCTGTTAAAATCAGTATCATCCAAGCCTTAGAGACCTCAATAAAATTGGTAAACCGTATTGGAATAAAGAGTTAAGTAATTCATGGTTTGAGTGTTGCAGAAAATACGTTTCTAAAATGTAACGACTAATCAATGAGAAGCGGTTTAAGAGAAGAGTTTAAACAGTGTCAACATATCTTTGACAACAAGCTAAGTTCTATAAGTGGAGATTCAGAAGAGGCCAAGCACTGCATCTTGAACAACTGCAAAGTAACAACCCTCAGCAATTTTGGAATGAAATCAATAAACTGGGTCTGAAAATAGTTATGCAAATTTCAATGGAAATCATACTGGAAAATGGTCAACTTGAATATAAGTAGAATTGTGTATTAGATAACTGGGAGAATGATTTTGCTAACCTATTTTCAGGCAATAATATACCATATGTGCTTGATAATGACTTATAAATTATACTTGTAACTTAAAGTATGGGTTGGAAATTGAGATGAATAGGGCTGGATACACCTCAAACTTGTTCCTGAATTGACTATGGAGGATGTTAGGAAGGCTGTTGAGAAAGTAAAAATAAGAAAAGTAATAGGATATTATTTTTTTACTACTGTACGCGGTTGATATTGTCCTCATTTCAGAGAGCGAGTTTATTTGAAATGTATGCTGAACACTGTCAATCTCTGGTGTACCAAATGGAGATGAATGATAAACCAAGATAAAACCCAGATAATGCACTTTTAAAAAAAAGGGTACACTAAGAAGTATTCATGAATTCTCTTTTGGAGCAATGCCCCTAAACTACACTAGCTCATCTAAATACATTGGTTTCCTTTTGATGAATGCCTCAGAGTCATTAGTAGCCTACCAAACTTGCTAACTTCCTGGTACTCAGCACTCTGTTATCTCTCTAACCACTCTGACATCAATGCTAATGTTATCAAAACTCTAATCAAACACTTCATGAGAGCCCATGAGCTCATGTTGCACAACATTTCTATAGGCTATGCAATTGCGTGAGAAAACAGAGTGAAGGCCTCTATTAAAAATAAGAGGATCCCATCAGCTTTCTAAAGGCTAGGCCTACTATATTTATTTCTCAACTTTCCTAACATCAAACACATTGCTTCTCTTTACAACAGGAGTATAGCCTACCTGGCTGGCATGAAAATGAACCACGGGAAAAGCGTCCTCCATTCACTATTTAAGTGCATCTTTGACATGTATTTTTTCCCCTGTCCCTGTTTCGAGACAGGTGCATGATAATGGTCCATTTTAAAATCAAAACAAATTTCACACAGATATTTTTTGTATATGTAAAGACAAGATTAAATCAAGAATAGTCTGATGGTTGACAATATTACCCTATCACTTGTGAATTATATATTGTCACTTGTGAATGATGTAAGGCAAGAAACAAAACTTTTTTTTTTTTACGTTTTCGAAATCACAGTCGCACACCTCATGTAGCCTAGCCCATAGGCCTATATGTTTTGATAAGGTTTGTTTCACAACTAAAGTGTCCAAATAACTTCTTAAAATTAAGCACATTCATCCGCTTTACAAGGGGTGTAGAGCCTAACTGGCATACATAAGCAGCGCATGCGTTTCAAGTTTGGGGAAGATAATTTTCACCATAAAAATGCACATCATAATAAAAGCATTACATGCATAATCGCATTTGCGGTCACTTTTGATAATGGTGTTTTCCCGCTAATGGAACATTCGCACTTATAGCCTACAGCCATGTGCGCATTGCTTATAATGTGAAGAAATAGCCTAATAGTTTATCAACATTGCGTAAAAAATGATTATTGCTGCTAGTGGTTGTATTAATTTGGGATCTATCGCATCCCACAACTGTCCCAGACTATGTTTGGAATATTAATTTCTCGCACAGAATAGGTACACTTTTGTACTATGGGGGATAGTAGATTGACATAGGCTAGTGCTTTTGCTGTTAGTTAGGTCTACTCATCTTGTTGGCTGACGAAAAGTAAATCCTCCTCTGTTCCTCTGGTGATGTAGAGGCTAACCCAGGCCCTGCAGCCCCCAGTATCACTCCTACTCCCCAGGAGCTATCATTTGTTGACTTCTGTAACCGTAAAAGTCTTGGTTTTCTGCACATAAATATCAGAAGCCTCCTTCCTAAGTTTGAGTTATTCACTGCGTTAGCACACTCCGCCGACCCTGATGTTCTAGCAGTGTCTGAATCCTGGCTTAGGAAGGCCACCAACAATTCTGAAATTTCCATCCCCAACTATAACATTTTCCATCTAGATAGAACTGCCAAAGGGTGTGGAGTTGCAATCTACTGTAGAGATAGCCTGCAGAGCTCTATCATACTATCCAGGTCTGTGCCCAAACAGTTTGAGCTTCTACTTCTAAAAATCCACCTTTCCAGAAATAAATTTCTCACTGTTGCCGCTGGCTACAGACCCCCCTCAGCCCCCAGCTGTGCCCTGGACACCATATGTGAATTGATTGCCCCCCATCTATCCTCAGAGTTCGTACTGCTTGGTGACCTAAATTGGGATATGCTTAACACCCCGGCCATCCTACAATCTAAACTAGATGCCCTCAATCTCACACAAATTATCAACGAACCTACCAGGTACAACCCTAAATCCGTAAACATGGGTACCCTCATAGATATCATCCTGACTAACTTACCCTCTAAATACACCTCCGCTGTCTTCAACCAGGATCTCAGCGATCACTGCCTTATTGCCTGCGTCCGTAACGGGTCCGCGGTCAAACGACCACCCCTCATCACTGTCAAACGCTCCCAAAAACACTTCAGCGAGCAGGCCTTCCTAATTGACCTGGCCCAGGTATCCTGGATGGATATAGATCTCATTCCGTCAGTAGAGGATGCCTGGTTGTTCTTTAAAAGTAATTTCCTCTCAATCTTAAATAGACATGCCCCATTCAAAAAATACAGAACTAAGAACAGATATAGCCCCTGGTTCTCCTCAGACTTGACTGCCCTTGACCAGCACAAAAACATCCTGTGGCGTACTGCATTAGCATCAAATAGCCCCCGCGATATGCAACTTTTCAGGGAAGTTAGGAACCAATATACACAAGCAGTTAGGAAAGCAAAGGCTAACTTTTTCAAACAGAAATTCGCATCCTGTAGCACTAACTCCAAAAAGTTTTGGGACACTGTAAAGTCCATGGAAAATAAGAGCACTTCCTCCCAGCTGCCCACTGCACTGAGGCTAGGAAACACTATCACCACCGATAAATCTACAATAATCGAGAATTTCAACAAGCATTTTGCTACGGCTGGCCATGCTTTCCACCTGGCTACCACTACCCCGGCCACCAGCTCTGCACCCTCCGCTGCAACTTGCCCATGCCCCCCCCCGCTTCTCCTTCACACAAATCCAGACAGCTGATGTTCTGAAAGAGCTGCAAAATCTGGACCCCTACAAATCATCTGGGCTAGACAATCTGGACCCTTTCTTTCTAAAACTAGCCGCCGAAATTGTCGCAACCCCTATTACTAGCCTGTTCAACCTCTCTTTCGAGATCCCCAGAGATTGGAAAGCTGCCGCGGTCATCCCCCTCTTCAAAGGGGGTGATACTCTAGATCCAAACTGTTACAGACCCATATCCATCCTGCCCTGCCTTTCAAAAGTTTTTGAAAGCCAAGTCAACAAACAGATCACCGACCATTTCGAATCCCACCGTACCTTCTCCGCTATGCAATCCGGTTTCCGAGCTGGTCATGGGTGCACTTCAGCCACGCTCAAGGTCCTAAACGATATTATAACCGCGATCGATAATAGACAGTACTGTGCAGCCGTTTTCATTGACCTGGCCAAGGCTTTCGACTCTGTCAACCACCGCATTCTTATTGGCAGACTAAATAGCCTTGGTTTCTCAAATGACTGCCTCGCCTGGTTCACCAACTACTTCTCAGATAGAGTTCAATGTGTCAAATCGGAGGGCCTGTTGTCTGGACCTATGGCAGTCTCTATGGGGGTGCCACAGGGTTCAATTCTTGGGCCGACTCTTTTCTCTGTGTATATCAATGACGTCGCTCTTGCTGCTGGTGACTCTCAGATCCACCTCTACGCAGACGACACCATTTTGTATACATCTGGCCCTTCATTGGACACTGTGTTAACAAACCTCCAAACGAGCTTCAATTCCATACAACACTCCTTCAGTAGCCTCCAACTGCTCTTAAACACTAGTAAAACTAAATGCATGCTCTTCAACCGAACGCTGCTTGCACCTGCCCACCCGACTAGAATCACTACTCTCGACGGGTCTGACCTAGAGTATGTGGACAACTACAAATATCTAGGTGTCTGGTTAGACTGTAAACTCTCCTTCCAGACTCACATTAAGAATCTCCAATCCAAAGTTAAATCTAGAATCGGTTTCCTATTTCGCAACAAAGCCTCCTTCACTCATGCTGCCAAACATGCCCTCGTAAAACTGACTATCCTACCGATCCTTGACTTCGGCGATGTCATTTACAAAATAGCCTCCAACACTCTACTCAGCAAATTGGATGTAGTCTATCACAGTGCCATCCGTTTTGTCTCCAAAGCCCCGTATAATACCCACCACTGTGACCTGTACGCTCTTGTTGGCTGGTCCTCACTACATATTCGTCGCCAAACCCACTGGCTCCAGGCCATCTATAAATCACTGCTAGGCAAATCCCCGCCTTATCTTAGCTCATTGGTCACCATAGCAACACCCACCCGTAGTCTGCGCTCCAGCAGGTATATCTCACTGGTCATCCCCAAAGCCAACACCTCCTTTGGCCGCAATTCCTTCCAGTTCTCTGCTGCCAATGACTGGAACAAATTGCAAAAATCTCTGAAGCTGGAGACACTTATCTCCCTCACTAACTTTAAGCATCAGTTGTCAGAGCACCTTACCGATCACTGCACCTGTACACAGCCCATCTGAAATTAGCCCGCCCAACTACCTCATCCCTATATTGTTATTTATTTTGCTCATTTGTACCCCAGTATCTCTATTTGCACATCATCTCTTGCACATCTATCATTCCAGTGTTAATACTAATTGTAATTATTTTGCACTATAGCCTATTTTATTGCCTTACCTCCATAACTTGCTACATTTGCACACACTGTATATATATGTATTTCTGTTGTATTTTTCACTTTGTTTTGTTTTACCCCATATGTAACTCTGTGTTGTTGTTTTTATCGCACTGCTTTGCTTTATCTTGGCCAGGTCGCAGTTGTAAATGAGAACTTGTTCTCAACTGGTTTACCTGGTTAAATAAAGGTGAAATAAAAAATTAAATAAAAAATAAAAAAAGTGGACAGTTCTTCCAATATCGTCAATATTCGCCTCGGAATTGGATAAGGATGCGCGCAGTTGTGTCCCCGATGTGTCTGTCTTCACTTGTAGCCTGTGAGAATGACCCAATCACATGATGGAGAGCCATGTGAGTGAGAGGTGCTTCAGAGCACGCAGCACTCAGGGAGAAGGGAATTATAATTATTATATTTAGCCCAAGGGCACAACAGCCACTGGCCGCAAAAGGCATGGATTTTTTTAGGGGGCATTACAGCCACACAAAGGGAATGCCACCGGGAAATTCGAGGCATTATCAAGTGCTTGCCAAATTGTGAATGAGAGACTGATGAAGTGTGTACAGCCTGCGCAAAAAACTAAGCAGAGCTCATGCCTTTCATGCAACTTTTTTCAAATCATCATTAGTCGCATCATGCAGCCTTACAATGTATTACAAATCAAAACATAGCCCAACGTTTGTAGAACAACTAAAGTTACATTAATAACTCTAAATTAAGCATATAGGAGTACCTATTTATTTGTTAACCACACAACACAGAATAGCTGCATGTGCGCACTCCATCAAATCGTTTGGAGAAAATATCCTTTCTATTTTATTCAGCTTTGTTCAATTGTATTCTTCGTACTATAAAATAATATATAATAATTCCATGGAATTCTAAGCAAATCTTGTCTGCTAAATGAACTAGTGTAGCCCACAGCTATATGGCATAGCCAGATCAGGACCTAACATAAGGACAACTCAGAGTATGCTATTCTGTTCTTCTGAAATAGACTACATTTTCTTAATATCATGTTTCTTTAGACCTGTCTAAAATAAAGAATGGATTTATTGTGAAGGTTTATGCTTCATTACATGGATTTATTAGACTTTCTAAAATGTAGATGTTCCAAAGGTCTGCATCAGTGGCTTGTAGGCTATGTGTGGAAGCCAGGAAAGGCTAAATGTGTTTATGTTAATTAACGGTCAATTACCGTGAGACCGGCAGTTATTTGCTTGACAATCACCGGCTGACCAAATTTCGTGACCGCCACAGCCCTACTCATGATCAACCTGGTTAAATAAAAGCTTCAACATACTCAAATAGCAAGCCAACCCACCGACTTTCTCTGTTAAAACCTGGAGATTGGAAACTCGCTCATCCTTGAACAGCTCGATGCCGTAGACGCAGTCGAATCCGTCGTATTTGACCATGTAGAGGGAGGTGTTGACGGTGAGGCGCTCCAGCACTGTGCCTTTCCACTTGGTCAGGTTGCCCTTCTCCCTCCAGTTGTGCTCAATCCGCAGGCCCAGCAGGTTGTTAGGGTCCAGTGTCGATGACAGAGACGAACCTGAACTTTCACTCAGCTCACCGCTGCTACGCTTTCTGAGGGGAAGGGAGAGAAGAATATAGGTGTTTCATTTATGAAAAAATAAATAAAATGTATGCACTCACTAACTGTAAGTCGCTCTGGATAAGAGCGTCTGCTAAATGACTAAAATGTCAATGTAATGTCTGTAATGTATTTTTCGTTATGTGTCGGACCCCAGTAAGACTAGCTGTCGCCATTGGCGTCGGCTAATGGGGATCCTAATACATCTAAAAATCGAATCCATAGCTAGAGGACTTCTGCTCTCTCCAGGAGTAGCTAAGTATCAGTTTTTGTCTTAATCAGTTGTTGTCCTGTCTTTTGTTGGCTAGGGCCATTACTTTTTTCATACTAGCACTTTGCTGATAACTATATTGAGGTAAAACTATGATTGTGATATGTAGTTGTCTCACTTAGCTTTCTTTACACTAACTGTAAGTCGCTATGGATAAGTTGTGCTACCATGTTGTTGTCATGTTGTGTTGCTACCATGCTGTGTTGTCATGTGTTGCTGCCATGCTATGTGGTTACATTTACGTCATTTAGCAGATGCTCTTATCCAGAGCGACTTACAAATTGGTTGTCTTAGGTCTCTCTTTATGTAGTGTTGTCTCTCTTGTCGTGATATGTGTTTTGTCCTATATATATTTTTTTTATCCCAGCCCTTGTCCCCACAGGAGGTCTTTTGCCTTTTGGTAGGCCGTCATTGTAAATAAGAATTTGTTCTTAACTGACTAGCCTAGTTAAATAAAGGTAATAGAATAACACTAATAAGATTGTCTGCTAAATGACTAAAATGTGAATGTAAATGTGTAAAATAAATTCAACCCACGTCTGTGCCCAGTGGGTTGAATTTATTTTACACATTTACATTCACATTTTAGTCATTTAGCAGACAATCTTATTAGTGTTATTCTATTCAACGTCTATTCCACGTTGGTTCAACGTATTTTCGTTGAAATGACATGGAAACAACGTTGATTCATCCAGTGTGTGCCCAGTGGGCAAGTTCAGGTTAAAGCAAAACAGGAAACACACAAAACAGTACTAAAATATGAGTGAAATAACCAAGAACAGGTGTTTCAACCTACCTGCCCCTTTTCTTGGACATATTTCCATAAATTCACACAATCCTGTGGGTAGAGGGCAAATAGTGTATTTTACAACACAAAAACATTTAATAATCTCAATCTTGAGAAAGTAACTTGATACAGTGGTATTGTGTGTTGGATTATGAGTTTGTATTTTACTAGGTTATATTGATAACACATGGACTGTGTCTTGAGGAGCAGAAATACCTATATTCAAGTTACAAAGGAAGAAGGCACACATATTTACCTAGGGAGTCGGGACACTCATAACAATATGGCCTAAATTACAGTGTTATCATATCGCATAATTATGGTTACGTAAATTATGTTATCCCCCACAAGCAATAAACCCACACCCACCAATGTAAACTACAAGTAGTCCTACAGGATTGGTTATTTTACCCATGTAGCCTAGTAGTTTCCCGCGAGTAGACCACAGACGTTGTTACATCGTAGCCCTACCGGATGTCAACAAACAACAATGTCGCCCTCCCTCACTGCATAACCTCTTTCAACTTCTGCCAGTGCAATTGCCTATAAAATCATGCCGCGTCTCTAGTGTCATTTCGACGGGATCAAGTTTCGTAAAATTGTAGCAATTTGATATTTCTGGACTAGCCAGAGATATTGCTGGCGACAGACATAATCATGTTGTCGCATGCCTGTAAGCAGGGGTGTAGCCTTTCACATTCGCGATTTTCGTTCAGATGTTGACAATTGTTTATCAAAGGCGCGCGTGCCTATTTGCGACATCAACGTCAATGTATAGGCTACAGTAAGGTTCTTTTGTGACATAAAACTGACCACTGGTCTACGGTAAAACGACCAACGCAGTATTCACATTTGCATTACAATAGCGCACGCAACAGGCGAAATTGACTCACTGAAGGGCTTGAATCACATTAGGCCTATAATGTAGTGTAGTAACACGATTATTAAAGTAGAACGCATATTTAGACAGAGTTACCTGGCCACTATTTTCATTTCTACTTCCCTCTGCTGAGCAGAATCCACCTCATGAAAGCTACAAGGAAATAGTCTTACTACGGGAACTACAACTACCAAGATAGGTTTATGCCTAAACTAAATGTAAAGTAAAGTAGTGTCCTTCTCAAAGGATGCTGGGAGTTGGTGTCCATTACGTCACCCACCACAATAAAGCCATGGAAAGTGATTGGGTGCTGTATCTAACAAAGGATCGGGAAAAAATATATTTAGCGGAACTCTACAGTGTGGCTTTGGCATGCCATTAAATATTCAGTGTGTATCTATTTTGCCTATCTGATAGTAAACTTGTTGGTCAATAGGCTACGTAGGTTGAATTAACCTACATTTCCCACCATGCAATACATTTTGTGGATTGGCTTGCATAAATTCTGTTACAGCCGCTCCTATGACAAGTCTTTCCCAAAATTCGTTATCTCTCTCTCCGCCTCTCGCTATCCCAGACTGCTGTGTCCGTACTGTACATAATGAACTAGAGGCACAGAGCAGACTGTGATCAGAAAAGACACAGCTACCTGACACAGGACCTCTGAATCTCGATGGATGTGATCAGTCATGTTGTCCAAAGGAGGCTCCTTACTCTCTTACTCAAAAGCTATTGGCTGGCAGTGGTGGAAAAAGTACACAATGTTCATACTTGAGTAAAAGTAAAGATACCTTAATAGAAAATGACTCAAGTAAAAGTGAAAGTCACCCAGTCAAATACTACTTGAGGAAAAGTCTAAAATTATTTGGTTTTAAATATACTTAAGTATCAAAAGTAAATGTAATTGCAAAAATATACACTGCTCAAAAAAACTTCTCAGTTCCTATGCTTCCTGGCTGATGTTTTGGTCACTTTTGAATGCTGGCGGTGCTTTCACTCTAGTGGTAGCATGAGACAGAGTCTACAACCCACACAAGTGGCTCAGGTAGTGCAGCTCATCCAGGATGGCACATCAAGTGAGCTGTGGCAAGAAGGTTTGCTGTGTCTGTCAGCGTAGTGTCCAGAGCATTGAGGTGCTACCAGGAGACAGGCCAGTACATCAGGAGACGTGGAGGAGGCCGTAGGAGGGAAACAACCCAGCAGCAGGACCGCTACCTCCGCCTTTATGTAAGGAGGAGCACTGCCAGAGCCCTGCAAAATGACCTCCAGCAGGCCACAAATGTGCATGTGTCTGCTCAAATGGTCAGAAACAGACTCCATGAGGGTGGTATGAGGGCCCGACGTCCACAGGTGGGGGTTGTGCTTACAGCCCAACACCATGCAGGACGTTTGGCATTTGCCAGAGAACACCAAGATTGGCAAATTCACCACTGGCACCCTGTGCTCTTCACAGATGAAAGCAGGTTCACACTGAGCACATGTGACAGACGTAACAGAGTCTGGAGATGCCGTGGAGAACGTTCTGCTGCCTGCAACATCCTCCAGCATGACCGGTTTGGCGGTGGGTCAGTCATGGTGTTGGCTGGCATTTCTTTGGGGGGCCGCACAGCCCTCCATGTGCTCGCCAGAGGTAGCCTGACTGCCATTAGGTACCGAGATGAGATCCTCAGACCCCTTGTGAGACCATATGCTGGTGCGGTTGGCCCTGGGTTCCTACTAATGCAAGACAATGCTAGACCTCATGTGGCTGGCGTGTGTCAGCAGTTCCTGCAAGAGGAAGGCATTGATACTATGGACTGGCCCGCCCGTTCCCCAGACCTGAATCCAATTGAGCACATCTGGGACATCATGTCTCGCTCCATCCACCAACGCCATGTTGCACCACAGACTGTCCAGGAGTTGGCGGATACTTTAGTCCAGGTCTGGGAGGAGATCCCTCAGGAGACCATCCGCCACCTCATCAGGAGCATGCCCAGGCGTTGTAGGGAGGTCATACAGGCACGTGGAGGCCACACACACTACTGAGCCTCATTTTGACTTGTTTTAAGGACATTACATCAAAGTTGGATCAGCATGTAGTGTGGTTTTCCACTTTAATTTTGAGGGTGACTCCAAATACAGACCTCCATGGGTTGATACATTTGATTTCTATTGATAATTTTTGTGTGATTTTGTTGTCAGCACATTCAACTATGTAAAGAAAAAAGTTTTTAATAAGATTATTTCATTCATTCAGATCTAGGATGTGTTGTTTAAGTGTTCCCTTTATTTTTTTGAGCAGTGTACTTAAATATCAGAAGTAAAAGTCTGCCAGATCAGAGGCAGTAGGGATGACCTGGGATGTTCTCTTGATAAGTGTGTGAATTAGACAATTATCCTGTCCTGCTAAGCATTCAAAATGTAACGAGTACTTTTGGGTGTCAGGTGAAATGTATGGAGTAAAAAGTACATTATTTTCTTTAGGAATGTAGTGGAGTAAAAATAAAAGTTGTCAAAAATATAAATAGTCAAGTAAAGTACAGATAACCAAAAAAACTACTTAAGTAGTACTTTCAAGTATTTTTGCTTAAGTACTTTACACCACTGTTGGCTGGAAGCAATGATTTATTGTGTTTTATTTAACTTTATGTCTCCTATCTCAGTATTTTTTTGAACAGATAATATGCATACAATGTTACTACTATCATTTTATCATGCTAAATGTAGGCTACGTACAATTTCCCCCCGTCAGGTATCTCTCAAAATGTCAACGAGGCTAAACCAAGTAAAATAAATGTTACATTACCGTAACAAAGATTATGTAATAGGAATCATAAGCTTCCCCATATCTCCGTTTTCCCTGGTCTCATCCAGTGGCCGAACATGGCAGGAGATGGAGAGCCTAATCATGTGGAGGGTGGAGGATCATAAACCACTGTCCAGTCCAAGTCCTGAGAAGGATCTGACAAATTCCTGTGTTGTCAGATAAATTACAGTTGTTGCAGGAAAATACTCTGTCTTGTTAGCTACTAAGGAGGC